AAATGTTGTCAATTTCTGAGCCCAAGCTCTTCACCCTGAGGCCACATGCACTGCATAACAATTTGGCTTAAACCTGAAGTTTTGTACAAATGTTGAAAACCCAGCTGTCAGAAAACCCAGGTCTGCACTGGAAGACACCTAAGGAAAGTGTGTCCTGATCAAACCATTAAGTGAGAAGGCTAAAGATGAAAATTACTCCTTAATCTTCTGGGTGGGAAAAGTACCAGGGGTGAATGTTTCTGTTGGAGAAATCATCTGAGATGCATGGTATTTTTCTGGGGGAAATAATTTCAAGATCTGTCCAATCTTTAAAACCAATGATTCCAAACTCATATCAAAACCTAAATAAACTTCAAGGCAAAATATGAAAGTTTATTTCAGTTAAAAGTTGTCAAGTTAATACTTATGAGTACCTGGGTGCAAGGATCACAAAGAGAAATATTCAAATTCTACATATGCAAAGAATTCCCTCATTGATTAGGTACCTATCCTATGCCAAGCACCCTTATAAAACTCCTTCAAATTCTTCAGAAAAATCCTATTAAAGGTAGGACATTATTCCCATTTTAGGAACAATAATAGTTCCTGTTTCACAGATAACACGCTTGGCTAACATGTATTGAACACAGTATGGTACACCATTCTAAAAGCTTTACATATAGGAATACATCTACTGGCACAGAAAGGTTAAATTAATTTGCCCAAAGTTACAGCTGGGAAATGGCAAAACTAGGATGAAAAACAAAAGCTAAGAAAGGTAAACCAACTTGGTCCAAGGCCACAGCGCTATCACCCATGGAGCCATTACACTGACACAGGCAGCCCACCTGTGTTCCTTCCACGAGTCACCCGCCCAGTCCCACCTGGATTTACCAGGGCCTGGCAATAAAAGCCATGGAGCCTGATAAACCTGAAGGGGTGTAAAGAGGTCAGGGTCTTCATTCAATTCAGAAGAGGGAAACAGACATCTTGATAAACATTCTCTGTGTTTCTAAATATTGCCTCAATGTTTTCTAAAAACCATCACGTGAGCCAAACAAAACATATGCATGGGTTATCAACTCACAACTGCTCTGTAAACTTAGTAAGAGTCTTAAGTCAAAAGATGAACTGTACGATCACATCCAAAGTGTCAGAAGTCAGAGCTGCGAGGCCACACTGCTGGGAAATCCCTCCACTTTCAACAAAGACCGACACTGGGTTTGCCCTGAGTCAAACTTCTGCCTCTGCTAACTCCCTTCGGGGTGCTCCTCACTCTGGGACTTGCAGCGTGAGGTTTATCTATTCAAGTTACTGAAAATGCATATGAAATTTCAAGTTACTGAAAATGTATATGAAATTTTGCCTATTTGGATTCCCGCAAATGTCTTTTAATCTCATTTTGTTAAGGTTACCACACACGAATGCAGCAAAATAAAGCACTTCCCGCACACTAGCCTGCTAACTCTTAAACTAAATTAATTCTGGAGAAAAGGCTGCCGCAGCCTTGACCCATTACCTTGACGGGTCCCCCACTGCAGTCCAGCTCGAGAATTCCGCTCGGCCACCGTGGGTCATTTCCTCCTGTCTTTCTTTAATCAGCTGGGGGAGACTTGAGGAAATGAGTCAAAATCCTAAGGGTAACTTCTAGCGCCTGTCAACAACAGCAGCAAAATTCATCACCACAACAACATCTGTACATAAATGTGCTCCAAGGGAAGCCCACAGAATACTTGGCACGTTTCTGATGAGAATTTCTTTGGGGAGAAAAAAGGCGCTGAGTGGTAAATTGTTGTTCCTCCTGATGCTCTCCCATCCCAGGGTAAATAGCCAATGGTATCAGCCACTACTGGGGGCTTTCTTGTTCACAGCTATGCACAAGTGCAGGAGGCTAAGACCATTTTTATGTTTTTGGAGTGGGAGATGAATTTCAATTGACTTACATCATCATTTTAGAGTCAGCTTATCTTCAGTTCTGAGGGAATGGGATAGTTAATGCCTAAGCCCTTATACTGCAGGGATGCCTATAACCCCACCAAGCCATAATGAATGAATCCTCCCTTACTGAAGACGTCCCTGAAATTGAGAACACTCTAACAGCCTGTCGTAAGAGAGGCACTGCTGGGTCTTTTTCACCAAAACTGGGAAAACAGCGACCTGGGCCATCCTGCATTCTCAGAAATTCCAACAACACCTGGTAGCTAGGAGAGATTCACTGAGTATTTCTGAATGAGTCTTAGTTCTTAACAGATTCTGGGGACTCCTAATGGATATACAGTCGGGCTAACAGCAAGCTTCACCACGATTATTTTGGGCTCATCGTCAGTCAGTTTTTCCAGCTGTAAAATAGTAAGGGTGGTAATGGTGCTATCTGGGCTGAAAGTAGTAGAAACAGCGGGTAAAGCCCCAGCACAGGGCCTGGCACACAGGCCCCCATTCTAGAGCAAGGCTCTATTTACAACACACACGTGATGGGAAATCCGAGACCCATTAGAAATGGTGCCGGGAATGCACAACATACGTGATTTATACAGTCAAGGAAAAAATGTGTTGATAGGTGGGAAAGAGCAGAACAGGGATCAGTAATATCTGGGATGCCTTTACAAAACAATCGCATGATTTCCAGCAGGATAAGAAGTCTGAATGCCTTGTGTCCAGCTGCTGAGGATAACTTGAGCCTCACATCTGCAGGAAAGGGGGGAAGGTGTGACTCAGGATCCCTTGCAGGTTCATCCTGTTGGGCACAGGAGCTGTAGATGGGGGAGGGGGAGCGTGCAGGAACAGGGGTTACTACAGAGTTGCCACCTTCCAGTCCTCAAAGGCCATTGCAGAGGAGAGTGTGGGAATTGAGGGGTGGGCAGGATAAAGCACAGCTCCCTGCGGCAGCCAGCCAGCGGCAGACCAGCAGAAGCGCCCATACACAAGTGGCCATGTGACCGACCAGGACAGACCCAGGGACTTCAAAGAGGCAGGAAGAGGTCAGGCGCAGAGTGGAAACTGCTGGATTTACACTCCACAGCCCTGGGGGGGGAGAATCCTGGACCCCAAAGATCCTTCCAGATGCAGATGCCTCATTGTCCTCTGGAGGAAACTGCCCCCCCACCCCAGAATTTAAGTGACCTGCCCTAAGCAACCTGCCCAGGGACAAACACCCAAAGAATGGCAGAGAAAAGAACCCGAGGCAAAGCAAGGGTTACTCCCTTCACCATACCACTCTCCTCCCGAGACAGACCTTAAAATTCCCTTTGCCAGGAATCTACTGGAAGGAGCAGGCTTCTTGTAAGAAAGGAAACCAGATTCATTTAATTTTTAGAAAGGGAAATATTCAGCGTGGTCTGCCTTTCTAGTGTGGCACAGGGGTCTGGTTCACACACCTTAACTAATATTAAAAGGGCACACACCGAAAGACCATGTGCCACTGTAAACTGGGAATTGCACACTCCCTCCTGACCCCTGCTGACCCTGGTACCGCACAGGGGTCCGAATGCCAGGCTTCTCTTTCCCCACAGGAAAGCCTACACAATGCCTCCCAAGACTGGGGGGCTGTGTCCTGAGACTTTATAGAGAAAGGGCCCGGTACTCGCCAAAGTCTCACAATTGATCGTGATGCTTCCTCTGGAGCGCTAGATTGCAGCTCTGACTCAGTTTCTACCCTAACACCAACAGGGTAACCTTAAAGGGTTTGGAGATTGGAGATTTTTTTTTTCATGACCTGGTTGGGGGGGGGGGCAGGGCTTCAGAGCTTAGCCGGGCGACCCGCACTAGCGAGCGGCATCAGAGACACCTGAAAAGAAGGGAACCGGACTCGGACAGAGGCTCCAGAAGCTTGCAAATCAATCCTTCAGCTAAAGACCCAAGTTCCCGCGCGGATATAACTGGATTTTCCTAACAGCCTGAAGAACCAAGTAAGATTTGTAAAAAAGTTACACTCTACCCCCCACCCCCCACCTCCAGCAGCCCTGAAGTACAGATACCCCGGGGTGGGAGGGTGAGAGGGGAGGCGGTCTCCAATCTCAAAATTCCCGAAGAAACGGAGACCTCCGATTAAGGGTCGCACACTCCGGGACAAGGGGCTTCCAGAACACGCCGGGCTGCCCCTCATTCTCGCTCCAGGTGGCCGGGGTCGCGACCGTAGAGTCCTGGCGGGTTGTCTCTGCCTCCCCCGAGCGGGCGGCATAACGCAGCCTCCAGCCGCCAGTCGCTCCGGGGCGCGTGGCAGGAATGAAACGGCGCGGTGGCAGAAAGGGGCGAGCACCAGATTTGCAAAAGCAAAGCCTGCAACCTAGCGGCTGCTTCCCACACGCCCTGCCCAAATTGTCCGTGTCGCCACCATCCCCAGGGTTGTGAGGTCCCGGCCCCAGAGCAGCACGCCGCGCGCTCCCGGTGCAGAAGCGTAACCCGGAGGCCGGGAAGCGTGGCAGCCTTCGACTCTTCTCCACCAGTGGCGCAGCGACCAGAGGCTGCAGCGGGTCGGTCCCCAGCTTTGGGCACAAAGAGCGCCTGCGGTTGGAAAGCAGCAGCCGCAGAGCGAAAGGGAAGGCTCTCTAACTTTGCCCTAGGCGAGGCGGGTAACCTGCCGGCTGTCCTCCCGCGCACCGGTCACACACACGCAACTTTTAACAAAAGGAAGCTGCGGCCGCCCCTCGCACGGCGAGATAAGGCTCTCGGAGACAACCCCGAGCCGCCCTCCCCGGCCACCCGTGCACCGTCGGCACAAAAGCAACCCCAAACTCGCACGCAGTCTGCAGCCTCGATCACGCCTAAGTCCCCTGTCTGTCCCCATTGCCGGAAGACCCCCGGGTTCGCGTCCACCACAACCAACAGCTAGGGGCTCCTCGCGCAGGTGAGCGAGGAAGGGCGCGGGAGATTCCCCAGGCCACCTCGACTCTTTCCGTAGGCTGGAAGGCTCCGGCATAAAGGGCCCACAGCCACCTCTCCTCTCCGCACCCCAGCGAACAACCCGCACCCGGACACAGCCTGCGGCCCGGGGCGCGGCCAGGTTGCGGGTCTCGGTGTCCCACCTGTCTGGACGCGGAGCAGGAGGAGCAGAAGGCAGAGAAAATCCCAGGCGCCGCGAGCGCCTCTCATCGCGGTGGCTGCGCTGGGATCGGAGATCTGGTCCACGTTCCAGCTCTCGCCCAAGTGCACCGAGCGCGGCAAAGCCAAGCCCCCAGAGCCGCAAGCGCCGAGCAGCAGCCCCTCCTCCCGCACCCTCCCCCGGCGCGCCGGCCACGCCCCTCCCCGGCGCCCCTCCTCGCCTCCCCTCCCTCGCTCGCGCCTGGGTCTCGCTCCTTCCCGGCGGCGTCTGGCCCTTGCTTTTTCGACGTGCTAATCCCGAGGGACCGTGCCCGCCGGGAAGGGGAGGCCACGTGCGTCCTCGCCGCGCGCTCTTGACCCCGGAGCCCCTTCATCTCTCGACCTCTCCTCCCCGTGTTGTGATCTGCCCTCCGAGGCGGGTCCCGGACCAGGGTGGTGCTGCCCGCTGGCTTTGTGAGCTGGGCACCGCGCGCACTTCAGGGCACGGGCCTGCCACCTGGCAGGTGCTCCCCAGACAATAAAAGGTTGGCTGCCTGCCCCTCCAGCACGCTTGGAGGGAGGAGGCTGGACGCCGCGGGTGGTGGAGGTGGTGCAGAGACGGGAAGGGGAGGGTGTTCGGAAATTGGGGCCCGACATTCTTCTGCATAGCTGTTAGAAGAGGGGGGCCAAGCGCGGCGCGGTTAAAAGCTGAGCCCGGATTTAGATAATTCCTTCTGTTCAGTTTCTCCACCTGCTCCGTAACCTGTTAAGAACACAGTTGGTTTCTATTGGTCCGAGCGGCCTCCGCCCAGCAAGCCCCAGTCGGCACGGTGGAGGCCGGGGCTGTGGGGTGGGGAGGAGCGCCTTGCAAAGTTAGCTCCGGTAGCCAGGGTTTTTATGCACATTTGTCTCAGGGCGCCTTTTTTTTTCCCCTCCCTGTATGTTTTCTCTGCCTGTATCTCAGACGACAGTTACAAGGCTGGGGATCCTGCGTTCCCTTTAGCTGACCTTGCCATGTTCCAGGAGCAAAATAAAAGTAAAATGATTCTCTTAGGGCAGGTTTTCACTGCCCAGAAAGCGCTTGTAAGCCACTTGCTCAGGGTGGCCGTCCTTGAAAGGAAGGTACCAGCAGTATCTGTATATGTTTTCTCCTTCTGCCCACACTGATTATTCTTTGTGAGGTGGGTAGATAGATATATTTATTGTTGTAGTAGTAAAAGTGACCCAAGGCCATTCAGCTAGTAGAGGGGAGACCCAAGGTTTGAACCCTTATTTGAAGACCTACTCCAAGTGTGGTGAGCTTTCTCTGCATTCTGCATTCACCCCTAAGCCATCCCTCTTAGGGATGGAAAATAAATGGGAGGGATTTGCCATCAGAAAGGAATAATTTAGATGCAGACAGACTCTTTTCTAAAGTGTCATCCTAAATATATAGTTTCCCAGCTCCCTCACTAACCTTCAGTATTAAGAGATCTGTTTGAAGGTGACAGGACTTTGTCTTACTTATTTTTGTAGAGTTCGTGCCTACCTAGGTGCTCAATGAATGACAGGACCCAGGTGGTTTAAGAAAAATGATTTATAAAGCTAATTGCTTAATAATTATTACTAGAGGATGGTCAAGTGATCAGTGTGTGTATGCCCCTCACTTAACAAGCATTTTGAGTGACTAGTGTGAGGCAAGGAGGACAGACACGGGGAGTATATTGTTAACAGACAGGTGTGGGCTCTGCCCTCACAGTCCTTACTGTCCAGCAGGGGACCTTGCTCTTCAGTGTCCTAGCAGGTGGTTCCAATCATACAGCTGTGAAAGGACTGAAACTCAGGAGGTCTCTGTGCTCTGGGCAATCCGATCTCGTATTTTTTTTCTTAGGATGACAGATAAAAAGATACCACTCAAAGCAATCATAAGTTTCTGGGATCTTGATTTATTTCTAAAATCCATCTTTGAATTGAGAAGGAAAAAAACCACTATGAGTTAAAATATCAACATTATGCCTGAGAGAGAAAATTTACCATTTTCTTTTTCCATCCACTGATATTGGAAAGGACAACATTTTCAACAGAGTGGGTGAAAAGGGACCATATTGCAATTTAATTCTAGGCAAGAAACTTCTATCAGAAAAAAAGAACTGAATAGGGAATTATACAATGCTGGATGGACTATCATTCCCATTTATCATTCAACAAGCATTTCTTGAGCACCTAGGTAGCCATGAACTCTACAAAAATAAATAAGACAAGGTTCCCACCTAGGGGATTTCACAGTCCAGCAGGGAAAACAAGCACCCAAGTAAGAAACTATAATATCTGCTAACAGAGCCCGTGTTCAGCCAGTATAGTATACACCAATTTGGCCATATTGATTGGTAGAATACTGGAATCCTGAACACCTCCTAAATGCCTTCTTATATCCAACCCTCCCTTGAGACACCCCAAATCACCTTACATACAGCAATTAAAGGTTTTATGCTGGGCACAGCAGAGAGCCTCCAATACCTTTAGGGTTGTTTGATATTTCTAATACCCTTGCCTTTTTTATCCTGAGAGAAGGCACATATATGGTAAACTGTTAAGAAAATGAACTATATTGGACAATGCCTGTGGCTCAAGGAGTAGGGCGCCGGCCCCATATACCAGAGGTGATGAGTTCAAACCTGACCCTGGCCAAAAACTGCAAAAAAAAAAAAAAAAAGAAAGAAAGAAAGAAATTGAACTATGTTGTAGGTCAGCACTGTCCAACAGAAAACTGCGATGATGGAAATGTTTATAGCTCAGGTGGGCTCTATGGATCAGTTCTAGACTGTGTTCTATGATAGTCCTGAGCTCTTCCACAGATTGTACTATGCATATTCTGTTTCCAGAATTGTTTTAGTAATGATTCTTGATACAAATTGTAGAAACCCAACTCAAACTGACGTTAAATCAAACAAACAAAGAAACCTGAAATTTACTGTTTCTTACAAGTGGAAGATATTTCAGATTTTCCTAGAGCCAAGACTCAGAGTCCTCATCCTTGACAGGTGTGTGTGTGTGTGTTTGTGTCTGTGTGTCTGTGTCTGTGTCTGTGTCTCTGTGTGTGTGTCTGTGTGTGTCTGTGTCTCTGTGTGTATGTGTCTGTGTGTGTGTGTCTGTGTCTGTGTGTGTCTGTGTCTCTGTGTGTGTGTGTCTGTGTGTGTCTGTGTCTCTGTGTGTGTGTGTCTGTGTGTGTCTGTGTCTCTGTGTATGTGTGTCTGTGTGTGTGTCTGTCTGTCTGTGTGTGTCTGTGTCTGTGTGTGTGTGTATGTGTCTGTGTCTGTCTGTGTGTGTGTCTGTGTGTGTCTCTGTGTGTGTCTGTGTGTGTGTGTCTGTGTGTCTGTGTCTGTGTGTGTCTGTGTGTGTGTCTGTGTCTGTGTGTGTCTGTGTCTGTGTGTGTCTGTGTCTCTCTGTGTGTGTGTCTGTGTGTGTCTGTGTCTCTGTGTATGTGTGTCTGTGTGTGTGTCTGTCTGTGTGTGTCTGTGTCTGTGTGTGTGTGTATGTGTCTGTGTCTGTCTGTGTGTGTGTGTGTCTGTGTGTGTGTCTGTGTGTGTGTCTGTGTGTCTGTGTCTGTGTGTGTCTGTGTATGTGTCTGTGTCTCTGTGTCTGTGTCTGTCTGTCTGTGTCTGTGTGTGTCTGTGTCTGTGTGTCTGTGTCTGTGTGTGTGTCTGTGTCTGTGTGTCTGTGTGTGTGTGTCTGTCTGTG